TTGATCATAGTGGAACATATCAAATATACATAATGCCCAGAACAAATGTAATGCTTAAGTAAAAAATGCAAAAAAATATTTTTTACCACAAACTTTGAATCTTAAAAAAAAAATGGTGACGTGTTAAGGCACAATATATGTCATGTTAGATACCCTGGAGTGTCTACTTTCACGAGTGGAAGGCCTTTCTGGGGTTATTGAAACAGTCAAACTACTATAATGCCCCAAATTGAAACATAGGCCCTTCAAATCAATTTCTCAAAATTCTACTATTAAAACCTGAAATGGTCAGGTCTCGTATATTGCACTGTAGCATCACAAAATAGTGTCAAAAGCATACATTGGGGGTATTGTTTTACTCAGCAAAGTTAACTGAGCATAATTTGAGGTGTTTGATCATGGTTGAACATATCAAATATACAATATGCCTGACACAAATGTAATGCTTAAGTAAAAAAATGCAAAAAATATATTTTTATTACCACAATGTTTGACATTATCTGCCATATGAGATACCATGGAGTGTCTAGTTTCACGAATGGAAGGCCTTTGTGTGGTCATTTGAACAACCAAACTACTATAATGCCCCGAAATAAGACATAGGTCCATTAAATCCATCTTTGAATTTTCTAACTGTAGAAACTGAAATAGTTTGGCCTCTTATATGTCCTTGTAGCTTCCCAAAATAGTGACAAAGGCATACAATGGGGCTATTGTTTTACTTAGCAGATGTAGATGAACACAATATGGGATTTTGACCAGGAATAGCTCAAAGCAGCTTTACAAAATGTGTGTATGTCAAAACACTAAATAAACACAATTTTACTACAATATTTAGCAGAGATTGGTGGGGAAATGGCTATGAAAAAAGTGTCAAAATACCCTCAAATAAATAGCCTGTGATGTCTACTTTATATAAATATATACTTTTGTGTAGTAATTTTGCTTTCTGTGACGGCTATTAAACTTATAAGTCAAACATACCAACTTCTAAAAGATTTTCACATTGACATTTTATATTACTCCTTGTATTTTGTGACCTGTAACTTTCAAAAAAAGCCAAAATCCTATACATATTATGCACTTTGAAAAACAAGACACATAAATTAATTTATTTTGAATTACTTTCCCTAAGCTGGACATATTATGCACACACTATTATTGCCAAAACTGTGAAATGTATTATTTTCATTTTTTTTATTCAATTATAAATTAGATTTTATATAGGCATATGTTACAACAAATTAACGCACAGTTTGTCCTTTAAAAAACTGTTTATAATATGTGTTGGTGCAATAAATGACAGACATGCAAATTGCAGTTGAACACAAACCGTAATAAATGCAAAAATAGCTTAAGGGTCCTTAAGGGTATGTCCAGCTTCTGAAGCTGCATCCTTAAGGGGTTAATAGCCCTCCAAATATTTTCCCAACCACATAAGTTAAGTTCACAGGCCTATAGAGTCAAGGCAGAGATTTTAAACCCGTTTTGAATATAGAATCCATATTGGCTTTTCTACCAGGCATCTAGTATAATCCCTATATATATATGATCTAAGTATATATATACACATATACATACAAACACACACTATCTAGGTGTATTTTACTATTAATATATATATAATTATATATATATATTAATATCAAATTACACGTAGACTGATATTGATTAAATATATATATAATTATTGTTATATATATTTATAATATAAAAAAATTAAATATGTAAATACGTTAAAAAATAAAATTAAAAAATAATTACAAATATATAGATGTGTGTTATTTCGTTCTAACTGTATTGTGATATTAATATATATATTTATATCAAAATACACATAGAACGAAATAATATATATATCTATATACATAAATATATACGTATATATCACTATATATATATACCTATATATAAATAAAAATATTTTTAAAAAATTATATATATATATATATACATATACATATATTAATTCTACATATATATTTATGTAATATTTTTACATAATTAGGTATCTTAATTAATTACAATTAGCTGGACCTGCCTGACAACCCATGCCGAAAGTAAAGGAAATTTAATTTGCTAGCACTATATTTAACCCTATAACTTTCCAAGACACCATAAAACCTGTACATGGGGGGTACTGTTCTACTCGGGAGACTTTGCTGAACACAAATATTAGCGTTTCAAAACAGTAAAATGTATTACAACGATGATATCGCCAGTAAAAGCGAAGTTTTTTTGCATTTTTCACGCACAAACAGCAATTACACAGACGATATTATTGCTGCAATACTTTTTACTGTTTTGAAACACAATTATTTGCGTTCAGCGAAGTCTCCCGAGTACAGTATCCCTCATGTACAGGTTTTATGGTGTTTTCAAAAGTTAAGGGCCAAATATAAGGCTTGTGTTTCATTTTCTTCACATTAAAATTCGCCTGATTGGTTACGTTGCCTTTGAGACCCTATGGTAGCCCAAGAATGAAAATTACCCCTATGATGGCATACCATTTGCAATAGTAGACAACCCAAGGTATTGCAAACGGGGTATGTCCAGTCTTTTTTAGTAGCCACTTCGTCACAAACACTACTGTGGGTACTGTTTTACACGTGAGACTTTGCTGAATACAAATATGTGTATTTTATTGCAGTAAAAGCAAACCGTATTATGACATTGACCGTTAAAATGTCATGTAGAACTAAAAAAATCAAAACAAATCTTATGTTCTCCCATTTTTTTCATATTAAATTATGTTTCATAGCTACATATTTGATATTAAATGAAAGCCCTGTTTCCCCTGAATAAAATGATATATAATAAGGGTGTATTTAATATGAAAGAGGTGAATTACAGTTGGACAGACATGTAGCGCAAATGCCAGGTTTTGTTTACATGTATTTTTGTTCACAATGTGTACATTTGGCTCAGTCCTTAAGGGGTTAATAAGGGTAGAGGGAAACCGTAGTACTAATAAATAAAAACAATACATGCTTGATTAAACATACACATCTGAAGGTTTTTCCCCCACAAAATAAAGTTAAAAAACCCAACAGAAAAACCATCATATAGTTTAATTAATCTATTTTTTTGCATAGGTTCCTGCTTGATATATACTGAGGATAAATAATTATTCAAAATGCCTGCTTTTGCTGATCTTTATTTATTAACAAACCCATCTCTGACAGTTTTCAAAAATGTCAATAAATGATAGCTCTGGATACCACTGGCCCATGGAGCAGCACAGCTCAGTGGAATGGGCCTTGACATGGCTAGGAGACAGGTATAGGAGGTGTTAATGTGGGGGTTTGGCTATGGAAAGTGGGGGTGGGGTTTTGGATTATGGGAGTATACATAGCGGCCACTTTAGATCAAGGGCCATCTTAATTAATCCTCACTTGCCTGTTTTGTCCCACCCTTCCCCCCTTTAAGTGGGTTCTAGATTTGGTCACTGCGGCGGGGGATGGATAAACAAGTTGGGGTGCAGGTTGTTTGTCCAGATGTAAAATAGTTTAGTTCACTAAGAACTGTTAGGTTTGGATAGATTTTGGTTGGTTCAAGCTCGTCGGTAGCTCCGAACCTGGTGTGTCTTGGTATATCTCTACATGGTGGAACATGGTAAATCATGCCCTCGGTGGCAATGGTTTAAGTGGTTAGATGTTATTTATATGTTAATATTGTTTGTTTATGGGGGTCATTGTCAGGGTCGAATTGTTAAAAGAGTTGGGGCTGAGATGTTATGTTTAAATATGTTGACAATGACCTTTAATAATTAATATGTTTCATTGATCAATAAAGCTGTGATAATTTCCCCAAATATAAGGTGTCTGAGTATCCTTGGGGTTTTTTATTTTTTATTTTTTTTATACCGCAAGGCGACTATGCATATGTCAAATAATAAATAGATACATTGTGCATCAATGTAGTATTGTCTCTGAATACATTATTCTAATAACAAAGGATATCCACAGCATTATTGCATCACCTTTTAAAAGAATATTTTTTTTTTTAGCCCAGTTGATTGTTACTCAAAAAGAACAGTTTAACAATTAACATCTATGTCTGAAAAAGTTAACAACAGGCACGTTTTAATTGTGTTTACAATGACGGCAGCCTGTCGACAAAAGCAAAATGCCATACATTTAAAAATGTGTCCGTTGATAAGTTCATCAGACTAAGACGTAATTGCAGTACTCGAAGCTCTTTATAAACAAACATTCTATTGAGCTGAAACATGGCTGTAAAGTCACAATTCTAGAATCAAGTTATTTTTTTTAATACAACTTTGCATCCTGATCATCTTTTGCATTAAAGGTGCAAGTACCATAACCATTCTGGCATGAATTCAAATTTCTGGATAAGCTTTTCAAGTGATTTATTACTTATTTTATGTAACCTTTATGAATCCACACATAATAAATTGAGGCCTATTTAACTATGTTGCTATGAATTTATGGGTGCCATCTCATGTACAAACCTTCGAAGCAATGATAGTTTGAGAGTGCTGGGCTGACCCGCCTCAATTGACCCGTCTATCTTCTGTCCGTACTCCCATCTCTGATGCTTGCCTTCAAGACTTCTCGAGGGCTGCACCATTCCTGCGGAGCTCACTTCCCTCCTCCGCTAGATGCTCACCCAGTCTCCACTCCTTCAAAAAAATCATTAAAAACCCACTTCTTCATAAAAGCGTATCAATTAAACTGATAATAGCTCCCGACTGATTCCTCTCTTGCAACTGTCATTAGTCTGATGCTATCCTTTTTTTGTTGGCACTATATAAATAATAACATAATAATTGTCTCAGCATCAATGCAAAGAACTGATATTGAAATAGAATGTATGCGTCTTAGCATGAATTCAAAGAACTGATATCGAAATAGAATGTATTGGAACAAAAGACTGAATATTTCAATGTTCCACCTGCCTTTCAAGCCCTATGGATTCCACATTTACATCAGATTAAGAATTGCAGCTGTACATCTCTGGTTTAAGCCTGAAATATGTACATATCGAAATAGGAATGCAGCACTAGACTAATTCTTGTAATTTACCAACCGGCAAATCCTGGCTTTTTATTTTGACAAATACAGTAGACGGCAACTACTAATGCCTTCCCATGTTCTGCATCATGCATTAGACGTGCTTCCACTTTCTGTTTTCCATGTTTGCTGGGAATGGTGTTTAAGCTGGTTTTCTGTGAAGTGTAGCCTTTCAGCTGAAATATAGATAAGCAAGCACATGCCTTTGAAAGTCTTTGAAGTCAGTGAGCATAATTCAGGTGTATAATTTAAATAAATATCTGTTTGTGTCTGCCAATACATTAACAGTAGCGTATGCCACATTCTACAGTTAGCTTTAAGATAAGGAGGAGAAATCATGAGGTAAAATATTCCAAGCAACAGTAATAGATCTGTAAGAAAATAAATATTGGTTTATAATAGACGTTATGGAAGATTATAGGAATTGTAATTAAAATCATTTTCCAAATGTAAATATGAAGCCGTTTGGAAATCACGAGGATGATGGAATTGGCAAACAGCAACAGCGATACAAAGTGTACAGCTACTATCAACAGTAGAGCACATGCAAATAGACCTGAAAATATCTTCCGAATTACAGCACATAAATATTTTGAAGACGTACAATGATTAGCTACAACATTAAAACCACTGATAAGTGATTTGAATAACATTGGTTACATTGTTACAATGGCATATACATACGTATAGGAGAGTAAGGGAAAGTTCAATAAAAGAACAATAATAATAATATTAAAATAGTGAAATCGAAAAACACACTTTCCTCCTTAATAGGAAACCATATTATCTCACAAGCATAGCATGCAAATGCGTGGTCTCAGCTGGATACAATGTTTCAGTGTTACGATTTCCACAGGATTCCAGTCAGCTTCAGACACAGCAGGACACAGTGTGAAGTGCCACTTACTCCATAAACTGTCAAGCTGCTCACGCCAAGATCAACGCGTTTCAAGTCATCAAGAGTCATTTTTATCTTGAAACAGCATCTTTGTGACTGAAATGGGTTGATCTTGAGGTAAGCAGACTGGCGGCTCTTCAGTTAATATTAAATGTACTTTTAAAAAAAAATTCTTTAGCACTCAGATTAGTCAGTCTAATTTATCTTATTATATACAGGTTTCGGTAGACAGGTAACATGTTTATCAATTTTTTTTTTTATATAACATGCACTTGACATTGCTTGATTTCTAAACTTACCATTTCTGTTTGGCGTTACGTCTCGGGAATAAAAAGTGTAAATTTAATATGAGACATCACAGTTGTAGTCCTATTTGTTAATGCGCTTAAAATCCCACCATTGCTGGGTGTCAGCAATAAGTATAGTACACAACAGCCCTAGTACAAACAATAAAAAACAGAAAAAAGAAAAAGGTTAATTTGGCGCTATCCCAAATCCCTATGCGGACTTAAATACCTGGAGGTCTTTAAGAATTACTCAAATGGCCATTTAAGTGTAAACTGACTTGTTTTCTCTTTGTGGTTGTGCACTATAATTCATTAATAATTCTAGATTTGACCAGTTTCACTGAAAGGATATTCCAGCTATATACCGAAGGGCAGGCTATTAGAGCTGTTCTCAGTATTTTCTTGCACCTTGTTTTATTTTTGCTATTAAGGCTATCATACCCTTACATATTTGCAGTTAGGAAATGAAGGCTAAATAAATTATGTTTCCAGTTGAAAATGCAAAAATAAATTAAAAGAAGTATGTTTACAAAAAAAAAATCCTTATTTAGGTACAATCAGCAATACATCCATTTGCATTAAAACATACAATATACAAAAGACATTATGTACAGCCTACTTGCATTTTCAACAATGAACAGCGGGGCAGTAGGGAATGACCTGCACTTCAATATAAGTATAAAGAAAAATGTAAGGGAAGCATGGAAAAAAGTATTAAAGTGATGACTGTTATTTTTGTCTGGTGAACATAAAGGGCATCAATGGGAAGAAAACCAGCGGTTCCAGGACTCAATGGACAATATTGAGGCATGTGCATGTCATCTTTTTGTATAGCTGTAAAGAATCTTCTTGGGAACCATAAGGCTGCTATCTACTTTGAACTAGTGGAGACTATACTCACTGTGTTTCATACACTTGGTTGTCACATGAGCATCAAATTGCATTACCTCCACAGTCATTGGATCGATTTTCACATTGTCTTGATGATGTCACCGATGATCAAAGGGAGCGATTTAACCAGGAAACAAGGACCATTGAAAAATAGTACTGTAGACGATGGGATACACATCTATTGTTGGAGCATCCACCGTGAATGTCCAGAAACATTGCATCGCAACAAGTGACAAAAATGCGGATTCCGCAGCATGTCTCAGTGAAGTAACTTGTGTTTTGTTGTACGTGTTCTAGGCTTCTTGGGACTCTTGGGATTCTGTGTTCATATGTCATATCATGAGAAGCAGATCTGATGGACAAAAACTAATACCATTTTTGTAATCTGTGACCCTAAAGTACCCCAAAAATGGTCTAACATCTTAGGCACCAAAAGTTTTTGTTACCTACTGTTGTAGCTGAAAACAAAAAAAAGAGAGATATAACATTAACTTTTTGCCATTGGAAGACTTATCTCTAAAGACAGGTAGTAGTGTTAAGTGCATTGGCATTTGCGTCTGAGAGTCTTCTTGGGTTGTCGCTAGCCTTAAATGTGGGGTGTGATATGGCCTATGCAGACTCTCCGAGCAACTTTTGCCCTCGCTGCATACCACTCTCTGGTGAGATGTTGTAATAGTATGGATGCATGTAGCAGCAACAGAATGGTCTCTGGCACCTTAATCTCCAAACTTCTCAAGAATGTCCTCGGGCCGGACAAAGGATGTAAAATGGTGGTTCTTCTCTCTCAAAAGGCCATCAGCTTAAATGGATGACCTTAGGTGAAGCAGATCTTGTGCACTTTGAGGAGGTTAGCAAATTGGCTTACATGCCCTGGATCTCTAAAGCATACTTGGTGCCAGGTCTTGGTGTCTAAATCTCCTTTTCTTTTGTAGGTTATCAGCTTACCCTGGCTGGAGTGTAACAGGGCTTATTTTGTTCTTTGACAGTGAATTATCATGATCACGTCTCTAGGGGTGTTGGTCCACTCTGTGAGTCTGCAGTGGGCTCTGTCAATGTGCCACAGATGTTCTGGTGTATCTGGTAGTAATGGCTTAGGAATGTCCAAGATGTCGGCTAACAGTCCCTCTCCTGTCTGTTGTGGCAGTCCCCTCACTCTAAGGTTGTTCTTGTTGGGATCCATTGGAGAGGTCTTCGAGGGCATTTTCCACCTCAGCAAGGTGTTGGGCAAGTGAATTGGAGTTATCGACAACAGCATTGTATGCCACCACCAACTTTTCAAGCAATTGCTCCATGACTACTGTGCCTGTATTTTGGCCTTGAAATCATGGAACCTGCATTCGATCTCTCTAGTGAGATTTTCTTTTATTTCTGCCAACTTGCCCAGGATACAGGTTGTGTCTATTAGAGAGTTGCGCCCACCTTCTTCTGTTGTCTGCTGGGAGGCACATGTGAACATGTCTGCCATAGATGGGTTTACCTCCAGTTTGTGTCTTTGTTGTTTTTGAGGCATCAGTCTAATGCAGAGTAGTGTTTAGGTAAGGAGTTGTTGGGTTTTTGCCCTGTTATAACAGTTTGTGCAGCTAGCTTGCGCTTATTTAGCAGTCATGATGGAGGAGCCCAAAGGTCAAGCAGCTATCTTAGCTGACGTCAAACCACGCTCAGTATGTTTTATTTAAGCATCTCGTTTTTTATTTAATAAACTTTAATGTCCCTGTATCTTAGTAACTCATGACACCTTAAATTTAATACAGATTATATAACACTTTGTTTTTGTTTTACAGCAGGTAGATTGTCACATGATGTTTATGTAATTTAAATTGTGTCAATGTAATGAAATAATTTGCTAAATATCTTGCATTGGCATCTAGTGATGTCCCGAACGGCTCGCCGAACGGTTCGCGAACGGCTCGCCGAACGGTTCGCGAACGGCTCGCCGAACGGTTCGCGAACGGCTCGCCACGAATGGTTCGCCACGAATGGTTCGCCACGGACTCATCATTGAGTAAACTTTGACCCTGTACCTCACAGTCAGCAGACACATTCCAGCCAATCAGCACCCTCCCACCTCCTGGACAGCTCACTAAGAATGCAGCTTCACAATGAATGTAAAATGGATGCTGTCCAGGAGGTGGGAGGATCTGGGAGGGAGGGTCTGCTGCTGATTGGCTGGAATGTGTCTGCTGACTGTGAGGTACAGGGTCAAAGTTTACTCAATAATGAGTCCGTGGCGAACCATTCGCGAACCGTTCGGTGAACCATTCGGGACATCACTATTGGCATCAAATTGTGTTTTTTTCCGTTTATTGTTCCAGCAGAACCCAGCATATTAAATCCACTTAAAATAAGTGCTTAACACAACATATAATGGACAGTAAGCCAAATCCAATTTACTGTATATTAATTAAATGTTCATGCACCAAGACAGGTCTCTTTTACAAGGCATAATGAATGTATTCATGTCTTGATAAGCATTATTGTTTGTATTGGTGTGCCTGGGAACCAGCAAGACATACTTTCTCTGTATAAAACTTTTGTTCCACCATTAAACGGTCAAAGTAAGCTCTGAACGACATTTTGTTCCACAAGCATGCTTGAAATGGTGGTATTCCTGTATGGGCAGAAAAATAAGTTCATGACAAGGCTGAGGTTTTAGAGTGAACGAACGCTACTTCATGGGATGGTTTCCAACTTTTCTAACAGTATCCTTATATGGGATTACCATTTTAAGGGTACCAAACAGAGAACGATATTCTAAACAGCACCCTAAATTCATATCCTTTGGATAATGGCATTCACATTTTGCATAATTTCAAATCAATCATTTCAGAATTTTGAAAATGAAATAATTAAAAGAAAACATTTTTTTTTTTGCCTTGCACACTTTGGTGGATAGTTGAAACAATGTTTACATTTCTGATTCCTGATCTGGGTAAACTCATGGGTGCTTTAGAATGAGGCATATGACATTTTCTCAGTTGTCCCTTTTTCTTTCTACCTCCAGGAACATCTTCTGTGTTTATTTTTTTTTTAGATATTTTAGGATGGAAATGTGAAATGGTATAGTCTCAAAACATTATCACAATATCTTTTTTTTTTTTTTTTGGAATCCTGTAGTCTCTCTTGTAGAAGGCCATGTGATCAATCAGATGAATTTTAAATTTTGACAAACCATTTGTGCCACATAGAGGGAATATGAACATCCTGTGGTATTTGGTGTATCATATCGAGTACGAGCTGCACTAAACAGGTGCTATTTTGGGTACAAAGTCTTGAAAGTTGAGAGATATCTATTGATTTCCATGTGATTGCCTCCTTGCTCCAAAATAGCATTTACTATGCTTTGATAAATCACACCTTATGTTTTTTTTTCCTTCTATGACGAGGTTATGGAGCAATGAAAAGGTGAAGCAGCCATTTTGGTTGTGCACTTTTAAAAATATTTGATGTAGAAAATCAAATGATATTGCCTCCACGTGCCCCGGTGTCATAACTGCATTTCAGGTACACTTTAAAATTTACATTACAGCTCTTTAAAAAAAAAAAAAATGTTCATAATCAAGAACTTTACGGTGACATAACTCTTCTTAAAACCGAAATACAAATGTGTGAATTTATTAGAACTAGCCCACTTCAAAGCAATTTGATATGTCTAGATTTTAAAAAAATGCTCTCTATGGCACAGTCTTTGATTTTTAATGCTTGGATGAAATGGTAACGGTTTTTCTACACAGATGCTTCATTCTTTCTATTTTTTAAAAAGAAATCAAACATAACATATACGCATTACATTTTAAGGTAAGCAAATTCAAAGTTAATGAAATGCCTCTTATCATATTCCAGCTGTCAGCTTTTTACCAACGCTGCTGACGTTAAAATTTTTAATATGCAATTGAAGATTACGCTCACATCAAAGATATATACTGGTTGGGAGAATTTTAATTGGGAATATGTAAGTATGTTAATAAAAATATCCCAATCCTATCTATTTTTTTTTTCTGGATGGTAAGATTGAACACCTCATTTTTTTGCATGTGGATTTCTGTTGTAGACATCTGGATCTTTTCTGATGATTTACACCGTAATATGTCAGACGTTTAAAGGGGAACTTACATCGTAAAAAGAAATTGGGGGCACACCAGAAACATGCACTTTGTAGGAATGGTGCTGCCGTAGTGACCAACATTCCTACATAATAAGTTGCAGAGCACACATAAAAATACATTTTTAAATGTTATGCGGCTACTTAAAATCACCTATCTCAGCAAACAAACATGGGGATTAAGTTCCACCAAATGGCCATATTGTATTATGCTCACCACTACGTCACAGAAACCCAGTATCGGTGGGTCCTACACTAATTCCAACGTGGGAGATATATTAAATAGTGCTAGCGCTAAATAAGCAAAAGTGCATTTAAATAAGCTGTTGTAAGAACATTGTGAACTTATATAAATTTAAAATTAATGTGATAAATACAATTAAAAAAAATATTTGTTTGCTGAGATAGGTGATTTTAAGTAGCCTTATAAAATTTAAAAAATATTTTTTATGTGTGAGCTGTAACTTAATCTGTATTATGTTTAAAAGGGGAACTGTCTTGCACCTTAGAATAAAACATTGAAAATCACATGTATGTGTTGAATTTTTCTTTTACATTTATATTAAAATTTACAGGGTTATTCACTAAAGAGAAATTCCAAAATGAATTCAAAGTGATTTTTGAATTTAAGGCAAAGTATCTTAAATGCATGAATTGCTGAGTTATTTTTCCAGTTCAGCTATTTTGACCTTAAATTCACTTTGAATTCACTTTGCATTCTCATTTTAGTAAATAAACCCTGTGAGCAAATTGCATCACAATCCAGCTCCGTCAAGGCACAGCCAGGGCATAAATTACAAATGAGGAGTAGAAATAGAAACATTGTTTCATTTCTCTTCTTCTCTGTAAGCTTTCTCTATGCTGACTGCAAGGGTGTAAAATACAGACCTGATAATGATTGACAGAGGACTAAGAAGGTGTCTCCGTGTGCTGAATAAACGGCTGTGAATTTCTACATCTGATTTGTTTGTTCACACCTCACAAATACATGTTTGTCAAATATTAAAAATCATGGAAATCAACTCTTCTTATTTCAGGGCCAAATAATGATGATCACATACATGTCATTTCAATATAGCGATTTCTGGAGCTTGTGACTAGAAAAGGCCACATAAGGGGTTGGTCAGTCCTTACCTGAGTCATGTAATGTTTACGGCCACAACCCACCTACACTCCATACACATTTGGTGGGTTGTGCTGTGTATAGTGGATTTCAATATTTTAAGTATCCAGAGTGTCAGAAGACTTTTCCCACATATTCTATCCTGTCCTAAAAAAAAGTGACAAAAACAGAAATTTTTAATGACAAGATTTCGGGAGAATCTCCCTTTCTCAAGTCTAAAGCATTTCTGAGCAAGACGACACAAAGAATTCAAAGTTGAGTTGTAATACAGGGGTTAAAGCGACAAGGTACATATAAGACACGGGTTTGTTAGAAAATAGACACCATTCTTGCAGAGGGTCGTACATATTGTGTGTTAAGATCAGAGTGAGGGGGGAGAAAAAAAAAACAAAAACAAAAAACAGTGCAGAAGATGTTTGCTTGTTTTTTTTTCTCTCTTCCCCTCACTCTGTGATCTTCACACAAGATATTTACGAACCTCTACAAAAAAGGTGCCTATTTTCTAAAAAACCTGTGTCTTATCTGCACTCATGTCGCTTTAACCCCTGTATCACAACTCAACTTTGAATTCCATGTGTCGTCTTGCTCAGAAATGCTTTAGACTTGAGAAAGGGGGGTTCTCCCGAAAGCTTGTCATTAAAAAATTTAGTCCAATAAAAAAGGTATTACAATATACACATTGTAACTGTTTTTTACATCTACATCACTGGACTAAAACACTACAATCTCTACTTTAATACTTAACCAGATAAGTTATGAATTGAAACGAAGAAATTACAATAATTAATAAATAAAATATGCTTTATTATACATTGAAAGTATTTCTTACTTGCTATATATATGTGTATATATATGAAACAAGGGGGGGTTGGCTGTTAGTGCAGGACCTGCCAAAGATGGGGTACATTGACGTTGTGGCAGGCTTATGCAATGTATGATCATATAATGTAACTAAACCCCCATTATTTTTGCCTAGATTAGGTGTTTTTAAAAAAAACTAATAAAATCTTTCAACATTGAAGTTGCTGTTTAGTAGATAGGTGAGTGTGCTGGATCTTGTGTATTGTGTTATTTGGCCCCCAGCAGCACCCCCATTTATGCATGTTCAGGTGAGTGCAGCCAACCCCCTCTTGTTTCATATACATATATTTGGGAGTCTAGCCAACTCCTTGGTTTTGCACAGGTGCCTCATCCCAGGGCCCTATTTAGCCTTGTAATGCAGAGAGCCCCAGATGGAATTTTTTTCCTCAAGTAAGTGGTTAATCTCATAAGAGCAGACATTAGGCTGTTAGTGTAGGACCTGCCAAAGATGGGGTACATTGACGTTGTGGCAGGCTTATGCAATGTATGATCATATAAATTAACTAAACCCCCATTATTTTTGCCAAGATTAGATGTTTTTTTAAAAAAAAAAACTAATAAAATCTTTCAACATTGAAGTTGCTGTTTAGTGGATAGGTGAGTGCGCTGGATCTTGTGTATTATGTGTATATATATATATATAGATATAGAAAGCTAAGATGAAAAAATATATATCATATACAATCAAAAATGTTTATATACATCAAAAATATAATTCACAATTAAAAAAAAAGGTACATTGTGCATTGAAAAGCTGTCCCCCTTCAATATATATTTTACATATACACAGAGCCGGTATCTCTATAATCAATACATATATATATATATTGTGTTAAGTGCACTTTAGTAATTGAAATGTTGCTCAGAGTGCTTTGTTAATGAACAATACATCTCTTAGGAAAAGTAAAGCTAAGCCTATGCATTTATAATTCTTTCAAAAAGGATATGTATATGTGGAGGGGTTTTCACACAACTTATTTAAATCCTTGTGGAAAACATGAGTATGTAAAAAAAAAAATCAAGATCTAACCATTAAATTGAACACAAAGGTGTCTTCATGTGTTTGTTGTATCTACAGTAAATGACCACGTAAACATTAAAAAACAAACAAAAAACAATTAGGTAGGTACTAACTAGTTTCACATTTAAAAACACATTGTCATTGAAACTGAAAATGTTTTAACACTTTTATATGATTTCATGAAAAGTTTATTTCAAAGACATGTACTATACTATAAAATGTGTGTAATAATAATAATGCACATGTATTCAATTTCTAGGTATATGGATAACAGTCTGTCCAGCAAAACCAACCAAAAATGAAGTTGTGCCCCCTCCCCCCACCCTCCCCCCAAAAAAACCCAGGTATATTGTGCAGTTATAAATAATAAGAATGTCCAATTCCAGTGATATACTGTGATGGGAATAGCAAGATGTATGAATGAAGATGTATGAATGTTAGATTTAAACATCAGTAGGTGCATCAAGGCAAGGACACTGTAGCCTAGAACACTTTTACCGTTTCTAATCCAAAATATAATAGATCGTGTTTACCATATACAGCGCTGCAGATTATGTTGGCGCTTAAATATATTACAAATACATCTGCAAGCAGCAATATTAAGGTGGCTAAATGCAAAAGCCTGTAGAGAGCACGTAAGCAGATATTGAAGATAGAGACTTAAAAGATATCAGTTTTATAAACTTAGACAATTTTGAAAATTAGGTTATGTCATTCAAAAAGGCCAACAGGTGCCAGGATAAATAACAAGCAAGCTTGATTTTGTGGTTAATAGCAGTATAAAAGTTATTTTAAACATTTGTGATGCCAATTACAAAGTGGCTGACAAAGCACATGACTAACTAGTACTACTACCAAGTAGAGAGGATAACAACAGGCCTAAAAGCATGGGTGCAGCACATTCATAGAAAGATATTGGATATGATAAATGACATTCAAAGATTTACATTTTAAATTATATAGTGGGGACTTTTGGTCATTAATCATAAAAAACAGTATGGCTGCCAGACCATATGATATATGGGCTTCACAATGCAACTTACAGAGCACACCATAACGTATCACCACATTGTTGTAAAGAATTTTTGATTTGTACGTTTTTTTACAAATGCACTGTAATATCGGTTAAGATTTCAAGTTAAACAGCTGCCAGTTAAACCACGTAACTAATAGGTAAACAGGTAAACAAGCATAAGAGCATGCACATAGCAAGTGCATAACTAGCATATAGATAAGTTATTTACAGGAATTTGTATTCACGGTAAAAATCTACATTTATACAACATATTATACATTTTACATGACTGTCAAATTCAAAATGACCACCGAGCTTTGTGACCTTGTACCTCTATGTGACCTATGGCATGTTATTATGTAATCATATTTTTTTTACAATACGTGTTATAGTTCAGTAGTGAAATATATGCACCTTCATGCAATTGGCGTGAATATGTGTGCCAAATTTCACATTGTCCTAACAACTGGTTTCAGCTTAAAATGTTTTTGTATGAATTACAAGCAAACAACATTTCTTGCATGACTATGTCACAACAACATGACCGTGCACAGCAATGTAAATCGGTAGCACAAATAGTTCTGGAAAAGCAGATGTTTCATGGGACCTATGACTATTTGGTTGCAAAGGATATAGAGCACTATCGATCTCTAAAAGAAAAGAAAAACAAACAAAAAAGGGGGAGTGCAGGGGCATTTTTTAAAATTTACTGGGACCTTTGGTCATGAGGTCCTTGTCTCCACTGGTGGCTGCCTTCTCTGGTCCCTGGCGGAATCATTGGGGATGGTCCTGGTGGGGAGGAGGGTACTGGTTCGGACTCTGATGATCCAGACGATGAAGGACCGCTACGCACTATTTCATCAATAATGGTAAGTCTCATGTGCTCCATACATAAAAAAAGTGGGAGAAGGGCCAGCGCTAATATAAATAGAATATAGGCAGCAGCCCAACAAAGGGTAACCCTCAAACCCTCTGAAGATAGAACATGTGACACAAAAAACAGAAGAAGGGCTGCGCCAAGAGGTATGTATTAATAATAAAAGTAGTAATAATAGTATATACAATAGTCCTAAGACAATATAATTAGTATAGTCTCATAAAGCCAATGGTGCAATTTGTACTGACGAGTGAAGATAAAATAAATGGATAAGTAAGTTCAACTCACATTTAAAAGAGCTATATCCAGCTCGGGTGTGAAGAGCGTACAGTGGTATAATACCCGCTTAAAGGATGTGTGATAGGAGTCCTCCAGAGGGGTGAAGGATGGAATATCAATTTCTTCATATATATTCTTGCTGTTCATATTTTAAGAGCAGTTTGAAACTTTATGGGTAGCTTGAAACAGTTGTTCAGTTGTTTTATTTCTCCGAAAACATTACCACTTACGTCAAATGTTCTTGTTTTTGGTATTTGTAGTATTTTGTGTAAATCAGAATATTTGTGTAAATCAACATAGTTGTTATCTATCACGAGCAGCTGCTTCCTGTTACATCCTGTTACACCCAATAGCATGATAAAGTATGTACAAATACAGCTTGAGAATAATAAAATATTGAACTTGTTTGGAAAGCATTTCAGTGTGTGTCTCCTCACTTGTTACCAGAATGTTCCGAGGGGGGGGGGTCGGTCTTCATCCATCAACCAGAGGGTCTTTGTCCCGTGTATAGCTGATTTTTCCCAACAAGCGGTGATGTCCAACACTCAGGAAAGAAAAAAATAAAAGAAAACTAATAGTGCTCTCAATAAAAAAAAATGCTATAAATATAAGTAAAATTGTACTCACAAGTGGAGTGCAGGCAAACTGCACTATGGTATCAGCGTGCGTGGTATGATCCCCACCTCAGGATATACTTGGAGTCACACGAAGATAAAAGCAGGTAAAAGTAGGCCAGCCAAAAAATTCCAAATATAAAAATGTGTAATTCAAAAGATGATTGGCAATCATGTAACCAAAAAACCTTTTATTAAGAAAGTTACACAATTAAAATAACCATAACGCGTTTTGCCACTAGGGCTTTTTCAAATGAGATAAAATTACAAACCTGGCTATTCTGAGTGTATGTATAGGGACTTAATTGCTTAAAATTGGCGCCAAAAATTAAACCACAGAGTTCTGCAGCCAATAGGATACAAGAATATACATACATAGTTAA